AAGCAACCAGTCAAGACGACACAAAATATTAATCGTGCAATACTTCTTTATACACCACATTTGCTGTATAAACCCCATCACCTTTTGAATTTTCGTTAGGCTTTACTAATACTTTTGTATTGCAACGTGAAACCCCTCTGGACAATGCAACATAAAGTTGTCCATGCGAGAATACTGGTTCTGGAAGATAGATACCTACATATGGAATTGTTTGTCCCTGAGCTTTATTGATTGTCATTGCAAAGCACAATCGAATAGGAAACTGTTTCCTCATTAGAGGATCGATGGTTGCTACTAATTGCTTGTAACTGGTATTGGTTTCATATCGATGGATGTGGATTCGCATATGAAATCAATTGTGTTCGCATCTATGAAATCAGTTCGCATATGACATCAATTGAGTTCGCATTTGGTTTTGTGGGTCAAAACAGTTCGCATAAGAAGTTCACGATTTGTTTGAGGTTAATTGATTTTGATTTCGCAAGCTTGGAGTCGGAGATCTGGATTGTGTTCGCATCTATAGAATGCGAGGAGAATTTAATGGTGATATTCAGTTCGCATTTGGTGACACAAGTACGTGGTTGATGATTTTTGGTTGGTTCGCATTTGAAATTAGTGGGTTTCGCATTTGGCTTCGTATCTGGGTTTCTCAAACAACTGAAATGCGAATATGAGACAATTGATTAATTTCTCAGTTAATGCGATGAAATGCGAATGAACTCAAAGACGGATGGATGCAAGATGCGAAGAATTTGAATGAAAATGCGAAGTTTTTAATGTATAAATGCGAATTGGGGAAGAAAGCTTAGAGTTTCGCATTTGGCACCTGATCTTTTCAAGAAATAATATAAGTGGTCCAACTTCGCAAAATGGGGTCATTTAATCAGAAAATCGATCATTCTTCAAATATGACATTTAATTAGAAAATCGATCTAAAAATGAGACATTTGGTGTTTATCGATTTTTCAGGGTCGACGGGTTGTATGAAAAGCGAAGGCTGAGTAATTGAAAATGAGAGGATCGATGGTTGTTGCTACTAATTGCTTGTAACTGGTATTGGTTTCATATCGATGGATGTGGATTCGCATATGAAATCAATTGTGTTCGCATCTATGAAATCAGTTCGCATATGACATCAATTGAGTTCGCATTTGGTTTTGTGGGTCAAAACAGTTCGCATAAGAAGTTCACGATTTGTTTGAGGTTAATTGATTTTGATTTCGCAAGCTTGGAGTCGGAGATCTGGATTGTGTTCGCATCTATGGAATGCGAGGAGAATTTAATGGTGATATTCAGTTCGCATTTGGTGACACAAGTACGTGGTTGATGATTTTTGGTTGGTTCGCATTTGAAATCAGTGGGTTTCGCATTTGGGTTCGTATCTGGGTTTCTCAAACAACTGAAATGCGAATATGAGACAACTGATTAATTTCTCAGTTAATGCGATGAAATGCGAATGAACTCAAAGACGGATGGATGCAAGATGCGAAGAATTTGAATGAAAATGCGAAGTTTTTAATGTATAAATGCGAATTGGGGAAGAAAGCTTAGAGTTTCGCATTTGGCACCTGATCTTTTCAAGAAATAACATAAGTGGTCCAACTTCGCAAAATGGGGTCATAAAAAGACAAAAGTGCAGAATTTTCATTTCGCATCCCTGTAGTCTTCGCAAAATGGAAAATTTTACCCAGTTTCGCATTTGGGGTAAATTTTTTTGAGAAATTGGAATATTTTCAAACTTTTTTTCTTAAAAAAAACACATTGTCTTCGTCTAAGAGAGGGAGAAAAACGATTAGGGTTTATAAGGGAAATACTTCATGGCAGTGGGATTTATAGCAGGGTTTATAAGGTGGAGAGAACAAACACACGTCTGCTATGAGATATTTTAATCAGCTGCAAATGCAACATTTAAAGGATATTTGTTGAAGCGTATTAGGATGAAAAGGTTTTAAATTTTGAATGACCATGAAATTAGGATTTTGCTGAGAAATATAAGGAATCAAAACAAATTTAAAATTTAATATTATTTTATTAATGGTTGTTTGTAATATTAGCTTAATCGTTTGTACGTCTTAAAAAAATAATATTATTATATTCAATCTATTTATAGAAATAGTTAGATTTCTTTTATAAGTAGTAAAGATATATATATATATATATATATATATATATATATATATATATATATATATATATATATATATATATATATATATATATATATATATAAAAGCTAAACATGCATGGTCAACCATCGACACATATTTTTTAATTTTTATATGAGATGTCAGATAAAATTTTAAAAGTTATAGAAAAAAAAAACATGAAATATGGAAGACACCAATAAGGGCAACATATTAAGGACAACAATGTAACATTAGTGACAACTCAACAGCAGTGACATTTTACTGGTTAAGACAATAGGGACGACTTTGAAATTTATCCACGGCACCCATGTTACCTTTATTGACTTAATTTCTTGTGGTGTGGCCAATATGACAAATGAGATTTTATTGTGTTTCAGTTAGGTAAAGAATGTACATCAAAATAGAGGGTGGCTTCTTGACTTTTGCAAAACAAAAATAACAACGTTAACGAAGAGCCGTAAATAAAATGTCATGTGTTTGATTTTAGATGATTGTACTATACAATTGTATAAGAATAATTTGTAGTGTATGGTTAAAAAGTGTTATGTATAGACCAATGTCCTTTTTCTAATGTCTACAAAACAAATACATTACGAATTTTGGATAATAATTAGGTTTTAATATTTTATTTATCGGGGTTTGTCTATGAATACTTTGATAATATTGGTAGAAATGTTTTCCTTCATAATATTTTCGGCTGATAATGTGAAAGTATATATACCATGGATTATGATTTTGTATGTGGTTTAAAAATGATAAATTAAAATAAACATAATGATAAGTTGGTGATCAAACATCGCAATTATTAGAATAGTTGAGTTCGTCCTTTTATGAAATTGTTGAATTATGAAAACACTAGTGTGCAAAAAACTGTATTGATAACTATTGATTCAATATAAAATCTATGCTTATCCTTTTTGATAGATTACTTTTTCATCGAAACAGAGAAATTAAACGGGAGTTGGGAACTTGATTATCGATCTAAAACGGCTAAAAGTTTAATTTAAACATATCACGTATATAGCTTGAACGATGTGTAGTAGTCCATGTTAGGTTGAGGCATGGAGAGAGCATGCATAGATTGAGATGAAATCTTGTGTGCAAAATGTTTAAGATATATGATAGAAAAAAGAGAAAAATACCAAAAAAGTCAGCTAGTGATTTCCCATTGGTGAACCTTCCCGTTGCTTTTCCATCCACAAAGTCCTTTCCGTAGGGGTAAAAGTTAGCCTTGGTGATAGTCTTGATATAGTTATTATTACCCTGATCCAAGTAGGAGTCTCCGAATGCAATAACTGCTGGAATAGAGACATTTTCAAGTAGATTTATTGTGCCCTTGCTGTAACAAATATAAATAGTAGAAAACAGATAGTAGAGAACGACATTCATTACTGAGGGATGCATTGCGAATCAGTATAAAATTTAAGAAAGAGAGATAAGAAAAGATATGAGCTATATATTTAAAATGTCATCAAAGACTCGCTTATGTAGAGATGATTATATGACTTGTATTATACACATATAATATATGTAGTCACTTTCTCAATAAATACCTACATTTGTGGTTGCGTGTCATATTCCACTTTGTTCAACTACACGTATATATTTTTATTTATCTATTATGTTGGACCGGATGTTACTAGAAGCTGTAATTAGAGTCTTTAATTCAGAGAAAGGAAATTAAAAAATCATTTAACAGATCTTACGCAAATATGTTTAAAATTAACCCAGGTATAGACGGATTTTACTAACTTGGAACGAGATAGTAGCTACTAACCATTAACCATCTGTTCAAAAATAAAATTCATTTTAGAGATCTAACATATGTTTAGAACTAATCGATTTTAAAATTTGTATCAATTTCTAATGAATTCTGAAAAAACAATGATTAAATTAACATCTTCAACTATACGTTGTCATCTACAACAAGTAATTGAGGCCATTTATGTTTTTTACTTTTTTTTTAATTATTTTTTTAATGGTTAGCATTTAGAAATTAATATCACTAAGTTAATAGAAATGCTTAGGTTATAATCTAAAATTTATAATCTAAAAAGCAAAGCCTCTTTCAAATAGACTTAAGTGTTGGTTTTTTCAAAGCAAAAGTTTCTAAAATCTATCGATCAACTCCAGAAGAGGTGGATCAAATGACTATAACCTGTAATAAAAAATCTTTTCGTTTTATAAAATATCTAAACTATTGCAAAAAACTAAATTTTAAATAAATTAATTTCACAAACTTAAAATGAAATTTTAACACTGATTACCAAAATAAATATTAATATTCATAACTCAATCCTTTTTTTCTTTAAATGTAATTCAAATTTTATACTCGAATATCAAAACATCAACATTCGATTACCAAAATAAATATTAATATTAGACACATATCCAATTCAATATTCTGATCAAATATTGCACCTCAGTTGATTTCTTGGGATGAAAGTGTGATAACACCTCTTTCCATTTTGTAATCAATAATTGAATACAAACCGAATGAAAGCTCTATGACACTATGACAATCATATATGTATAAGTGTATGCATAATCAGAATTTCCTTAAGATCATGAATGCATAATGTAAAAACTATAACTCAATTATCATGGTGATCATCAAGAAATCCTTTAAATTGAAAAGAACTATTAATTATTTTCCATCATTTATCATCTGGAAATCCCATGAGTTTCTTCAAATTACTAAACAAACAATAACCAAAAAGGAAAATCCTGAGATGAATTATTATCATTGTTATTGTCAATTGCTAATTTACAAACTGCTTAAAAGACTTAGCAGATAATGAATGAAAGTTGGAGCTCCAATCTGAAATGAATTCTTTAGCCAACCCTCATTTTTCATCTTCCTCCATTTGATCTCATTTTATCCTCAATTCCTCTTTCCCCAATCCAAGGTACAAGCACTGTTTTGTATACAAGAGCTAGTTGCTCGTTTTCCTGGCTTCTTGAGGCGAATGCGGCACAGTCGAAGAAACCGGAGACGGAGGCGAAGATGACGGCCGCGGCGGCGTTCCAGACAGGATCAGAACTAGAGGACTTCGTTGTCGATTAAAACCCTAATCGATTTCATCAAATATTAAAACCCCAATCGATTTAGGCACAAATAGAAAAGAAATTAAAAGAAAAAAGAACTACCTTTCGTTTTTCATGATGAAAAAGCCGACGAGAATGATTGAGATGGTGAGGGCGAGGACAACAACGACGAGTGTAGGAAGAACCCATGGGCTGAAGAGGAGGCCGGAAGGAATAAGAATTGTTCTTTGTTTGAGTAGTGTTTTTTGTTTGAGTCTCATTCTTTTTTTTAGGTTAGGAAGAGGTATGAAGAGCCTAGCCCGTTGTTGTGTGGTGCAGAGGACGCACATAAAATTTTCAGCCAAAAGTCTTCTAAAAAATAAATTGGTGCGAAAATAAAAGTGTTGTGCATGTATTGTGCCATATAGCAATAAGTGGTCAGAAAATGTTTTTTAAAAAAAAAAACAAACAACACCTTAATCTCAGTGTTGACAACACGTACCATACATGTAAATTGTTCACATGCTTCGTTTAAGTATCTAAATTCTTACATGTGTAATGTATAAGCCTCTTGATGTGGGTTCCCATTTACCAAAAGACATAACATGTATAATAAAGAACACGCGCCTCAACGTGGAACACAAGCATAAACGATTACGGAGTAAAGTAGCATTGCATGTGTGGTCTTTATAAATTTAATATATGGAGTTGGTTGAGTATGTCCAGCAAGAGAATTTATAATGATGTGAACGACGATTTTAAGATATTTTACTATTTTGAGAAAACTTATAGATTTAATAAATGCAGTCGGTTGATTATGTCCAGCAAGAGAATTTATATGCAGTCGGTTGCCGTTTTTTGTGATTTTAATCGATGTGGTTCTAAAATTCCAACTGTCATTGTTTTTTCATGATGGTTTTGGTTCCTTCCACGCTCAAAGAACTAACCTGCCCTTAATTTAATTTTTTTTTTTCTGTTAAAGTAACTAATTTAATTCAGATTGTTCCATGTACCAGGTGATTTCCATGTATTGTCTTAAAAAAAATCTGTACTTTTGTTATTCAAGTTCATGGTACATTTTTTTGGTGATATGATGGTACTTCGCAATAAATATTTTTCAATTAAATGATTGGAAGTCGGTCCTAACATATTTTTAAGGCCGGAACAAAAACATAAAAAAGACACATTAGTAATACATTTGGAAAAATATATTGTCAAAAGGATAATGGTTTAAAAGAGTAACATATTATTAAGTTTGTAAATTAAATCATTATTACCGGTTGATGTCATATTTGCTGATATGGCTGCATATATGGATAATCATTCAAAGAAAATACTCCTACACGGAACATCTCTGAGTTCCATCGATTATAATACAATACATAGCACTAAATTAAATAAAAAAAAAAAAAACTTTTGAACCCATACCCAAAATCGAAGAAGATGTCGACTCCCAGTTCATCTGGTTCCATCACAAAAAAAGATGATTTTTGTGATTGTCGACTCCCAATTCGAATACGCACATCCAAGATTAAAGACAACCCTAACAAAAAGTTCAATGTTTGCCCTAATTCTCTAGTATATCGATCTTGATTTCCCTCAGTACATTTGATTTTCCTTCTAATAAATAAATATATTGAGCTTCTTACCATCTTTATATTTGACTTCGAAGAAACTAGGTAAGAAGTGTAAGTATTAGGAATGAATTGATGAATCTGTGACTGGGAATCTGGATTTTAAACAAGGGCTTGAAGCAGTTAAAGAGGATGTTGTGTATTTGAAAAAATAAGTTCAATAGTTGAAGAATAAATCACATAGTTATAGGGTTGAAATCAGTTGTAATATTATCTAAAAACAGTTGAATGGAGTTTAGTATGAAGTATGAATTTTGGTAGTTTGAATATATTGAATGGTTTATATGGAATGTTGGGTTGGTATTGAATGAAATGTTGCATGATACACATTTGAATGTAATTTACATTGAATTTGGTTGTAATTTCTACAACTGAAAGACAAGGACAATGATAGAAACAAATGTGATTCCCAGTAGACAATAAACATATGATTTCCATAAGAACAATATTCTTAATAAACTAATGCATTAGTGCCAATAAATATTGAAAAAGACAAAACATAATTGATATGGGATACCAATCTGATTCCATTACTAAAAGCTATCAAAAGTTGCTATGTTACAAGAAATGATAATATTGTCAATTACATCAAAAGTTGGCCAAATTATCAAAAGAAAGTCACCATACATAGTGTATTATTGCATACTTCCAAAGCAAAAGAAAACAAGTAACCCTAATCATTCTAAAGTAATTGGGTTGTTCTAGTTCACTCCATTGTCATCCTTTTGAAAAACATGCTTCCTTATTTGTACCTTGTTGGTTCTATCTGAAGGCTTCCACGCTCTAACACCAAGGATATTAGGCACACTAACACCAATATTCACAAGCACTAGGTTAGAAATTACTATATTTACAGGATCTTGGTTGACAAGTACTTCATTCACATGATCTTGATTCACAGGGACATTCTCTTGAATCACAGGCTCTTGATTGACATGCTTTTGAGTCATATGATCTTGATTCACATGTGTTGGAGTACTTCGAGCTGAAGTTCTTGGACTTGCTTGTGAAGGACGTTTTTTTGCATTACTCTTCTTTCTTGGTTTACTTAGACATGCTTTTGAAGGACCCCTCACCGGACATGTAGCTTTGTTGTCTCTAGTTTCATTATAAATTGTACATTTGTGCTGTGACAACCCGAAATTTCTACTTGTAAAGTCAATCAATGCAATCCAAATGCAGACTTGTATCTATTACATTTTTAGCCTTGCTAAAGGTTATTCTAGGAGTTTTTAAGCCTTGTACACTTAGGAGTTAATGCTAGGAAGTGTGGATAAGGAATGTATGGTTTTCAATTTGATCCAAGATCATCCATCAAGGGATGTTTACGACCTAAAGTAGGTTGACGGCCGTAAACACAAGCTTGGCCGTAAACCCCTTCCTTCTAGTATAGAATTCCTTCATTATTTCTTCATTTCTCACACCTTCAAGTCAAGAACTCTCAAACTCTCTCAAGTATCATCAAGAACACTCTTCTTTCTCTTCAAAATCGTAAGTGGTTCTTTCATATTTACTTGATCTCCTTCTTATTCACGTGAAGCTCTTTGATTTCAGCAATGAATTCCAAACTTTTGGTTTAGATCTTCAGATCATCATCTTTTCACATAGAACACCAAGAACACACACCTGTTCTTGGGTCGTAAACTCCTTAAAAGCTTCCAAAACGTAAGTATCCTTTCCATATACTTGTTATATCTTGAATCCCTATGAAACAAACACCCTTTAAGCGTGAATTAAGATCCAAAATGCAAGATCTTCAAGTGTTTACCACCGTAAACATTTCTTGTGGCTATGAACCCTTCTTAAGATCTTGATATGGTCGTGAACCTTCATTCCTTGACCGTAAACTCTTCATAGGATCAAGCCTTGGGTCGTAAACACTTCATGTGTGGCCGTAAACACATCTATGGCCATAAAAACTTATAATGTGGTCGTGAACACCCTTTTATACAATCACATGTGATTGTAACACTTCATTTCAAGTGTTCCCTAGTCCCTAAGGTTGTTCCCTTACATGATTGGTGGTTATGTACACTAATTATATACATATATGTGTCATTATATGCTTAATATGATCTGTTTGTTCTCAAGACTTCACTTGGCATACTTAGCATGCTATATCCATTTCCCATAGGAATCACTCACTAGTAGGTGAGTTCATACCCCTAAACTTATCTTTTAATGACTTTAAATACTTTTATGCGGGGGGGGGGGGGGGGGGAATACAAGTAGAAAACAATATAGTTGTATAATCAATCGCATGTGATTTATAACTATCCACAACAAGAGATTCCTTATACTTCAAAACTATGTTACCAAACCAACTATTTCATATCTTTTTATATACTGACATTAAGTCATCAATAATCATTCAAATGGTTAAAACTCTTTTTATATAATAAACTCTTTAAATGTATTACAAACTCTTTTAAACTTATATATTGTCAAAATCATGTCTATATGGATGCAGTTATATAAACAAGGTTTAAATGGTTTAGGACTGATAATTCGCTTTATTTCTTTTTCCTTGTTTGGATGTGGACTTAAGATATCGGTGCTTTGTCTGAATGTCATTTAAATCTTAGTTATATGTTATGTATATGTATGTTGATATAAAAGTACTTCTGATCAATTCAATACCTTTGGGTAGCAAAAGTGTACAAACATGATCAGTCATTCAATTACATAGCTTAGTGGTACACTATAATTGGTATAGTTTACGAGGTTACTATTTACTATTTCTTGAAAAATGAAACTTACATGAATCAGTACTTACATGAGTTAGTTCTTACATGAGTCAGTTCATACATGAGTCAGTTCAAACATACAATAACAAGAATAGAAAGGAACATACAATAACAAGATCAGAAAGGAACATAGAATAACAAGAGCAGAAAGGAGCATACAATAACAAGAACATAAAGGAACATATAGTAACAAGATCAGAAAGGAACATTCAATAACAAGAACAGAAAGGAAAATACAATAACAAGAACAGAAAGGAACATACATCCTTTTACAAAATCAGATAACAATAAAGTGAGATACTACTTCACGACATAACAATATACTTGTTATGTCGCGTTTTGTAACAAGAGTCTCCTGGAGGGAGAGAGGGCATTGTGTATATAGATCTATACGGGACTGACAATCCCACATCCCAACTGTTAGCTACAGTCAGGCAGGCGAGCCAATGGGTGACAAATGTCACATTAGTTTCAATGTCAGCAGGTCATCATGTTAAATACTCATCAATCAGTATGGTTATAACCACATCACATTTTAACCTAAATAAACACATTGGTTTTAAGGTAGTTAGTGCTTTAGTAGTTATTTTAAACAACTTTACTTACACTTTCATTTTCCCATTACATTCATATAGTGATATTCTCACATAAAAGGTAATGTAAACTATTTTGTAGTACTGATAATCATAAACTTGGGAAAAACATTCATTTTTACTATTACAAGTACAAACATACATCTTACATCATTTTTAAAGAGAAATAACATACAAAGCAGTTGAGTCATGGTAGAAGACTACTTTTACAAGAAAATATAGGATTTTCTTGGAAGTACACAAACATTTACATCAAAACACTTACCAACATGTTCATCAAACTAATGCAAACATTTAACACAAAAATACTTATGAACTCACCAGCTTAAATGATGATCTACGCTTTCAAAATAAGTTGTATTCTCAAGTTGCCAATAGATAGGTATATTGGACCAGGTTTTGAGAAGACGGAGCATGTTCAAGATCCGTCTTTTATTTTGATATATATATATATATATATATATATATATATATATATATATATATATATATATATGGTGTCTTACAAATACATTCAGAACACACATGTATAACTTATACTATTAATGCAATCTATGATGTTGTTGCTTGTTTTATAATTATGCATTGTTATGTTACTGAACATGACGCCCTCTGCCCCCCCCCCCCCCCGAACGTTTCCACCGTTCTGGTTTGGGGGTGTGACATGTGTTGAATACATGCCCTGTTTATAGTATGTCTTTATCGAGTTCATTTTCTGCTTATTCTCTTTTCCTTTTCACACATGGCCTAATAGGCCCTAAGAAATACAAATTTAGTAAACCACTATGCAACATATTCCTCTAAATCAAGATTCAAAGAAGATATGGCCCATAATGAAAGCACATAATCAATCCTTATCAATTTCCAACCTCTACATCCACATCCTTTTTTCTCCAGGTCACCACCATACCATTCATTACCTTGCAGAACTTCAAACTGTTTGTATCCACTAACATACGGAGCCCAGAATCAGCCATTACAAAAAGTTAGTTAACACTTGCATGTACAAAAATTAAGTAAAAAATATATTGTCACTAACATTCTCAACTTCTTTAGTTCACCAAGCTTTTTTCTGATAGTTGGAAAAATTGCCAAATTCCAGCTCCATCCTTTCCCTTTCTGCATGTACAATCTCTCCATCACAAACACCCTTATGTTCTATAACATTGTGATTAATGGCTTCTTTCTAGCTTCTTTAATAGCAACATTGAAGAACTCAGAAACACCATTTTCCATTGCACGACATCCCACTCCCACCTTAAAAAGATCTCTTGAACAATAGTTAGGCTCCCTTCTAATGTGATAATTATATGCCCCTACATCAAAGCTCTTGACCTCTTCTATTGCAAGTTCATCTTTATGAATGGTCATTTCCTTTACAACCCTCTAAAAATGTTTTATGTAGCACCCAGCTTTAAAATTTTTATGGAAATTAACAAGGATGTGCCTAGAATACAACATATTCTCCACTTCTGGATATCTTTCTTTCATAGCCTCCATTATAACATGCATTTATTTGGAATGTTAGTATGTGTAAGAGGTAATTTGTTTATATGTACCTTGTGTCCATCTGACATCAATGTGATTCTGTTACCACTTACCCATTGATCTATGTCTTCCATTAGATTGTCTAAGAACCACTTCCATGTACTATTGTTCTCAACATTCACTACTACACAGGCTATTGGGTATATGTTATGGCTGCCATCCCTGCTTACTGCTAATAAGAGCTCCCCTTTACATATGTATCCCATCTATCCCAATAACCTTCCTACACACATCTAACCAGCCATCAACCACTCCTTTAAAACTCACATAGAACCTTTCAAACACCATAATAGAATTACTTTAAGGCTACAGATACACTTCAACATGAGATCCTAGGTTTACCCTTTAATTTCAGCTCCATATTCCCATAACTTAGAGTAATGATCCTTCAAATCACCCTCAATTTGACATAATGGAACTCTTTTTGCATTCCTACATTGTCCAACACTGACATTTATGTTGAATAACTTGGATATAATGACTTTCATATTCCTTAGACTCATTTTAGGGGACTCCAATATATTAGTGACAAACTATTTGTAAGTAACAATTAACCCAAGTTTGAATGACCTTGAGTAACTATGGACTTCTCTAAGGGACTTTATTTGAAATTTTGTCACACCCCCGAACCATCAGAAAAACAATGGCGGAAACGTCCGGTGGTGGCGACTTCATTCGCAGTATCACAACAATTGTATCATAGCAATCAAAGTAAACACAACCATTACATTACAATTTGAATATTCACATTTGTTTGAAAACATAGTTTGTACATAACATTATATAACAAAAGATAAAGACATGACTTCAAAAATGCTCCGTCTTCTCAAAAAAGACGTGTCTATCGTTGCCCTGAGAATACAAGCGGTTTTGAAAACGTATCATCATAAAGCTGGTGAGTTCATAAGCATGTTTTTGTATTGAAAACTAGTCACTGAATTTGTATAAATGTTTTCTTTCCGTTATAAGTAAATATTGTTTGTATCGAAATCCGTTGTTAACAAGTTCTGAAATTTGTATGCATGCTTACCAAGAAAATCCAATATTATCTAACATGTTTGT